GAGGAAGCCATCTTCACATGCCATGAGGCAAGCGTGAGCAGCACAGGCGCTGAGAGGGGGCTGGAACCCGCGGTATATCGGCGGATGTCAGCGGTGGTTCCTGGGCCTCTGTGGCCGTGTTTGGCAATATCCATGAAGGACATCTCTTTCATTCCCTTTATCCACGGCACAGGTGGATGGGGACATTATGGTGCTTTGTGTAGGATACAGGACATACCGCATATAGTTCAACAGGCAGAAGATTCCTTGGGATATGTCTTGCTTTTCCTACAAAGGGTGGTGTGTAGTCCACATACAGTGGTGAAGACACCATTTCAAGCAGAGTGCTGCAATCTGCACCTTTTCTCCCATCCTGGGAATAAATGGGGCTTATTTCCATTCAAGAGCTTTATGACACAGCTGTTCACATTACAGATGAACGGGCCCCAACCACGTGTGCCGGCACAGGAATGTATTGCATCATATATTTGACATTTATGTCTTTTTCCAAACAGGCCTGAGGCTTACTGTTCCCCTCTTCACGCTTATTGTGCTTACTGCATTTCATACATGTGATATACGTATATCCATAGTATAATTTTTGGATTCCCTGTTCGGGATTCACCATTATGATATTGGTGTAAATTCATTATTTAATATTATGGTATACCTATGGTATAATTTTTGGATACACCTCTCTTTTGGGAAGTGTTTACCTATGTGTTTGTACTACAGAGATATTAGACTCTTGCAGTCACTTTTTCTGTTGCACATACATTTAGACCGGTCTTGATGTCATTTTATATGGTTTTAGGTCTGTGTGTTACTGTCTCATACTGAGGTGATGGTAAACCAGGGCGAATGCCCATATGTCATATTTATATTTGTGTAATAAAGCATAATTTTTGGAAAATTTTCTGAGTGTCACGGTCTGTTCATAATGTAGCCGCTTTTCTGTGAATCTCTTTTCACAAACCCCCCTTTTTTGAATGCCTTTTTTGGCTACTGAATGGAAACCAAACATTGGGTGACACGATAACTTAATTAACAACCTCTTAATAACTACCTATAGTATATAAGAGTTGTGTAGGGGCCTACCATCATACAAGGTCTCCTTAGTCTGACGGTAAATAGCTGTATTGGACAATCATTCTCCTACATCTGTAGGCACCTTAAAGTGTACCTGATCTGGACTACAATTCTTCGAAATTAACAACAGTACTGAAATACTGCATTATTGCAGTGCTAGCAAGTACCTGTGTTTGTCTTCAAGATTCATTACATCATGGGCTATACATAGTGCCTAGACATCTCTCAGTAGAGATAAAGCTCTATCCTTGCTCCCTTTTCCCCACTGGGTGTAAAGCCCGATCCTTGGTATGAATTTTTCAATTGTCAGAGCCCCTACTGTCCGATGACGTTCTAGCATTTGACAGAAAAATTATTTGTAGCACCACCCCTGAAGGAGCCGCTTGATGTCATGGGTTCTCTGTTTTGCTTCTCATCTCTTATAACACCCTCAGCCCCTCTGGCACATCTAGTTGAATGGAAATCACTGAAAACACTTAAAGAGTCACAAGCAAAGATATCTTTGGCATGGTAGTGAGCTAATACCAGCAAATGAACACAAGACTGCTTAGTGGTATGGGAACACAATGTATTTGCATGGGTTGGAGAAAAGAGTGGTTTGAGCATAAATAAACATACAGAAGGTAAGTTTAGACACAGCCTGTTAGACAATGTAGTCGCTATGCCAACAGAACTTAAATTAGTTCTGTATAACTAGACTGGAATTAACACATAAACCAGCAAGACCATTAGTAGACAGTGAATATAAACATTAATTATGTTGTAAATAAGGACAATGCTACTACTTAGGGCGCACCCACAGAGAATGACTAAGTTCCGCGTGATTCCCCCTGTGTGGTACCTCTGAACTAAGCAACTAGTAAAGGTCTCTACATGGCAACTCTAAATGGGCAGTCTTTAGTCCTGAATCTTCAGCCAGCTAACATTGGAGCTCAGTCATTCTGTTGGTGCATAGAACAGTCACACTAAGGACTGTAGACAGTAACAGGCTATAGACCAGTTGTGTATCAGTTCCTATGGCTTAGTCTCTCTAGTGGCTGTAAGTCATGACCACAAGGCCCTCTCACCATACTCAGTAACTCAGCATGGAAATCTCACCGTGTGGAAAGGAATCCTCTGCCCCTGTTTAGTGTGGTTCTGGAACTTGGCTCACCCGGTACTACTTTAGTGTAGGTGGAGCACTAAGCTCTCTGCGATGGTAACACAGCCCCAGTCTCTGTGTTCTCCAATACTATCTCTCTGTGGTCTCACAGCAGTATGCCTAAGGCCTCAGCTTTAGCTGCAAGAAGGTCTGATTCCAGGGAGGTGTTCACTCCCACTTCCTGCAGCTAAATACCGTGCATTTCAAAGAACAGCCTGGGAGGATTCTGGTTTTCTCTCCTCCCCAATCCCAATGCCTTCTGGGAGATGCAGTTCATTGGATAACGACAGCCCATAATATTTCTCCCTTTCTGGACTTCAATTCCCAACATCCACTGCAGCCAGTTTAGTCATTGCAGCCTAGCTCTCCTCTACAGATTGAAGCAAGATTAAGTGTTAAGAGGGAGTATAGCTTAAAACTGTGCACCACGCATTTGTTACAGATTTGTTGGCTGCACATCCCTTGAACTGTTGATACAAGGCCGGACAGATCCATTCTTTCATGCTGTTAATACCAAATTCTGACCCTATCATCTGAATGTTGCAGCTGAAATCAAGACTCATTAGACCAGGCAACATTTTTCCAATCATCTATTGTCCAATTTTGGTGAGCCTGTGCAAATTGCAGCCTCTGTTTCTTGTTCTTAGCTGACAGGAGTTGCACCCGCTGTGGTCTTCTGCTGCTGAAGCCCATCTGCTTCAAGGTTGGACCTGTTGTGCATTCTGAGAGGGTATTCTGCTTACCTTGCTTATAATGAGTGGTTATTTGAGTAACTGTTGCCTTTCTATCATGTCAAACCAGTCTGCCAATTCTCCTCTGACCTCTCACATCAACAAGGCATTTTTATCCACACAGCTGCCACTCACTGAATAGGGATGGTTGTACGTGTAAATCCCAGTAGATCAGCAGTTTTCGATATAATCAGACCAGCCCGTCTGACACCAACAACCATGCCACGTTTAAAGTCACCTAAATCCCCTTTCTTCCCCATTCTGATGCTCAGTTTGAACTTCAGCAAGTTGTCTTTACACGTCTAGATGCCTAAATGCATTGAGTTGCTGCCATGTGATTGGCTAATTAGCATTTTGTGTTACCAAACAATTGAACAGGTGTACCTAATAAAGTGGCCGGTGAGTGTATAATCAAAACTGTACTCTATAGTAGTGGTGGTGTGAACCTCCTGCGCTCCCAAGTGTTTTAAACTAAATAAAAAATTATATATATATAAATCCCAGGGGAAGCTGCTAACATTAAATCATATACCAGTGATTGTGATAAATAAATGTAATAAAGAATGTAGCGCTACACCCAAACTATATACACACATTTAAATGAACATTTAATAAATATAAAAAATGTGAAATCACAAAATCTCATATAAAATATATATAAATGTGACAGTGATGTCAATTAATATTAATTAGTGCTCATAAATGGTAAATCGACACACTATGATAGAAGATAGAAGAGCACAGACAAACACACATGTGAAGGAATCAGGAGCAGCAAGGAGATTGATGCTGCAATACTTTCCTGGAGAAGAGCCAGAGTGGGAATACTTATTTCTGAGAGAACTACCTTTGGAGTGATAGCTTTACTTGGAGGATCTGTGAGGGGGATCCACTACTGCTCTTTGATCCGCAAGGGTCGAAGGGATGAGGTGAGAGGCTTATCCAGATGGTGGTTGGATTCTCAGATTTATATACACTCAGAGACCTGCACGAGTTTCACCTATGGTCACTAACAGTAGTATTTGGAAGCACTGTTTACTGTTTGGTCACCAGCAATATTTATTGGACTTTGAGAAACACTGTTGTTTGTACCATTTTAATGGTTATTTCACTTCACAAGAGGCACGTGTGATTATAATCATATATATGTGTATGTGTTGTTTTTATACATATATATATGGAAATGTTTTTTTCACATGTTTTGAGCTATTTACTTTATTGTGTCGATTTACCATTTATGAGCACTAATTAATATTAATTGACATCACTGTCACATTTATATATATTTTATATGAGATTTTGTGATTTCACATTTTTTATATTTATTAATTGTTCATTTAAATGTGCGTATATAGTTTGGGTGTAGCGCTACATTCTTTATTACATTTAAAACTGTACTCTATGTTCCCATTTTGAAACATTGTTTAAGTATAAAGTTTAGAGAAAGAAAATTAGACCCCTTTCACATGGACAGACTCCGGCAGTGGATCTGTCCACTGATCACCGCTGAGCAAGCGGATGACAGGTTAGTGTCTGCTCCTCTTACACAGAATGGACACGGACACAGCCCGCTGTCCTCTATGGGTGGTCAGATGTACAACATGTTTACATCCGACTGTCATCTGATCCGATTGGATTGGATGCAGGGGAGTGTAAATAGACACATGTCATTTTACATCTTCTGCTCCATAGAGGGCAATGGATGGTCCAATCAGGGCCGGCTTAAAAAAAGAACAAGCGAACCCAGTCGGCCGCCCGTGTGAAAGGGCCCTTATGTTACTCCAGGTAGTTTCTGGTTTGAGCCCACAACACCAAGTTCAGTGTGTATGGTGGGGGAGTTATTTATGAACAGGAAGCTGTAGCAGGGGTGTCAGTATTCCCTTGGAACAAAGTTCATTTGTTCAAAATCATTGGTCTTCCTTTGTGGCTGCTTCATCATCTGCACTTGAGATTATGACACAAATGAAATAACTAGGCTTTGTGTTTAATTTACTGATTGTGATTTTTATCTGCAGAGTGATGGAACAGAGGTGTTGTGTCAAGTTGGAAATACTCAAGGTTCTGTGACCTGCCTTCTGGCCTTTCCTCTCCTGAAGGCTGGACAAATGGTAATTAAAGCATTTTAGTGATTTTACCAGTAGTTACTGATGTCTTTAGACTATCTTGATATTTTTGGTATAATTCTTGGAGTACTGATCTTATATTTTTTGCATCTTAGGTGACATTTGATATTGGATTTGATTTTAACCTCAAACATCTTCAAGATAAAGCATATATATTCTTCCAGGTCACAAGGTACCACACTGTCTTTTCAGGCATAGACACTACTTTATGTGTTCAATAAATATATCATATTATTTTTGCTTGACAACATATTTGTTTGACAGTGAAAGCAAAGAAGTTTATGAAGGAGACAATTCTGTTAACAGAACTATTCCTGTTCAATATGACGCAGAGATCCACTTAACAAGGTAAACCGTTTGGATTTTACTGTCTAGTATGTTACATTCAGCCTGTTAATAGCAGTCTAGCAATCATGGAATTCGTGTTTGCTCCAAAGGGAAATGCAACTACAGCCAACCAGTTAATATTTAATAAAACTCATAGTTCAGGACAAAGACCTGGTACAAAAGCTTGGTGGTTACAGTACAGTACAGTGATTGAAAGGTTGCAACAAATAGTTAGAATTTGCCAGTATGAAGGAGACACATCAAAAAGTAGCTACATTCAAAACTTTCTTTTAGATAAAGTGTGGAAGCCTTTAAACCTTTGTCATGTTTTATTGTTGTGAAGTGAAACAACAAGAAGCGCACCAACCTTGTGCATTACCTCAGTAACCAAAATTTATTTAATGAAGGAATGGTACTCACAAACAGCGGATAAAAACAGGCATGTAAGTCCACCAAGGGACTTCAAACGCAAGAGACCAGCGCGAATCCCATCATGGGTGTAGGTACTCAGTCCAGCTGACGCGTTTCGAAGGTCAAGCCTTCTTCCTCAGAGCTTGGTTTAATGTTTTATTGTTGTCCATCTCCCTGCTGGTGAAATTGCTATTGTGATGAACATTGCCCATAGGTTTTAAAAAGATGGTAAATCCTAGATTTTACTGTTGTCATTAGCAAAAGATGAAGAGAAACCTTTGGAAGGGAACACTTGCTTCAGGGGCGGTTGTGAGCATTTCTCTTTGAGCTGTCCATAAAAAATGGATTTCTCCTCCCAAAAAATGGCATGGATGGATGTGAAATGCTCAATTAACACCCTGCACAGTGCTTTTACCACCCTATTTTAACTGGCTACCCACTTCAGCCTGACCATAAACTCATTGGGGTTGATTTAATAAACTTAAATAGGCTGTCCACTGCAAGTGCAGTTGCTTTAGATCTGAGGGGAGCTCTGAAATGAGGCAAAGCTGATTTCTTTCATCCAATCAGGTGCAAGCAAAAATGCTGTCTTTTTATTTTCCTTGCATGTTCCCCTCAGATCTAGAGGAAATGCACTTCCAAGTGCACTTGGTATGTGTTTGCAGTGCACGGCCTATTTACCTTTAGTAAATCAACCCCATTCTGTCGCTGGAGGTTCACCATGAAAAACATGTTGTGGGTCTACTTTCAACAATTCTGATTCAGCTGCCATGTATACTGAAAAAGCTCAAAGAGAAATACTGTTGTGCTCAAAAGTTTGCATACCCTGGCCAAAATCATGAAATTTTGGCATCTATATTGGAAATATGACTAATCATGCCAAAACTGTCTGTTATTTAAGGATGGTGATCATATGAAGCCATTTAATATCACATAGCTGTCTGGCTTCTTTTTAAATCATAATGATAACTGAAATCACCCAAATGGCCATGATCAAAAGTTTACATAGCCTGGAATGTGTGACCCTGGTACAGATGCACAAGGTGACACACACGGGCTAAAATGGCACTTAAAGTTTAATTTCCCATATCTCTGGCTTTTAAAATTGCAATTAGTGTCTGTGTGTATATAGTCAATGAGTTTGTTAGCTCTTACTTCGATGCACTGAGCAGGCTAGATACTGAGCCATGGAGAGCAGAAAAGAACTGTCAAAAGACCTGAGTGACAAGGTAATGTAACTTTATAAAGATGGAAAAAGATATAAAAAGATATCCAAAGCCTTGAGTATGCCAGTCAGTACTGTTCAATCACTTATTAAGAAGTGGAAAGTTCTGGGATCTCTTGATACCAAGCCAAGGTCAGGCAGACCAAGAACAATTGCAGCCACAACTGCCAGAAGAATTGTACGGTATACAAAGAAAAACCCACAGGTAACCCCAGGAGAAATGCAGGCTGCTCTGGAAAAAGATGGTGTGGACCTTTTTATAGAGCACTATACAACAATTCTTAAACAAAAATTAGCTGTATGGTTGAGATGCCAGAAAGAAGCCTTTACTGTGCCAATGTCACAAAAAATCCTGGGGACGTGTGTCAAGGTATTGTTAGGCATATTATAACTGGGATTTTTTTGTGGCATTGGTGCAGTAAAGGCTTCTTTGTAGCAACTTGACCATGCAGCTCATTTTTGTTTAAGAATAGTTGTATTGTGCTCCTTCATGAAATACACACTTTTTTCTTTTTCCAGAGCAGTCTGTATCTCTCCTGAGGTTACTTGTTTTCTTTGTATCCCGAATAATTATTTTCTCAGCTGTGGCTTAAATATGATAATAGATGGCTTTGTATGATCACTATCCTTACATAAAACACAGTTTTCTGGTATGATCAGTCATATTTTCAATATAAATGCCAAAATTGCACGATTTCTGCCACGGTATGCAAACTTTTGAGCACAACTAACCAGCCTGCTACCTCAGAGCACTGCTTCAAGGTGCAGGACCAATTCCAGATATCTGAAGGTGCTTCTCAACACACACAGAAGAACATGGGGGGGGGGGGGGGGGGAATTAAATGAAACCTATAGGCTTTCTTATTTTATATTATCGAAAGCTAGCCACATTCATTGCATCACTGACAGGCTGGAAGTGCTTTATCTTCTGACCTAAATTAAATATTCTAGATATACACGAAATCATGTTAAGTCAGCAGAGGATAGGAAGGATGATACAGATGGAAAATTCCAGTACATACTTATATTTTGGATAAACAATCTGGGTTTTCTAGCCTGTTCAGTCTCCTTGTACCTCAGGAACAGTCCTGTGTGGCTATCAGGTGATGCCATTAGCTAAAATAACACAAATCCTTAGATTCAGTGCTCAGATAGTTGAAATATTATGAAAATGTATGCATTCACATTCATAGGAATTTGTGATGGAACTGGAAGTGGCACATACTATAGATGTAGATACTGTACCTGGATTAAAAAGGGAATGCTGTGCTTTGCACTGGTAATGGGCTCTTTGGTTTCTTTTGGATCTCCTCACCATAACCTGTCAGGTTATAACATCTATATTTTAATGTTTTATCTGGCTATAAACCAAAAGTTCTGGATGTACAGTTCGCCAAGGAGTAGAAAGGAATTATTTGCATGGCTCCACCAACTACCGTAAAATGAAGAGATAACATCTTAGATTTTGAGATTTCTGCTTTAAACATTCATAGGGCAATATACAGTACTTCAGAGACACAAAAATGCAGAGATTTTAAATAATATATATTAACAATATTCAAAGTGCTAATAGCTTTTAGTAGAAAAAAGGGCAAAGTAAATGACCGAAACAATCAACAACCAATTGCTTCACATAGCTTTAGACGTATTACAGATCTATTTCAAAGAATACATGAAAGTTAACTGGTTCTCCTGGAAGACTTGTCCTTAGGGAAAAAACCTTAACAAATACCATTTCCTTCAAGGTCCTTGAAAACAATAGCTAAATTGCTGCAATGTGATGTATATATCATTACCTAGCATTCTCATGAGAAATGAGCTCATATCGTAGTGCATGTTTTAAAGCTTTTTTCACTTATATACATACAGTATAATGTTGTGTTTTAACCATTTATTGGAATAGTCACTTGGTTTTCTTGGCTTACTTAATCATGCACCAAGGTATTTGGACATATAGGTTAAAACTGAACTCCAAGACTTCAGTCACTTTGTAAAATTAGCTGGCATCCAACAAGGTGGATCTCTTTATTTTACATCTGACAGTTTTATGGAGCTCTAGGAGTGTAGCTATTACAATACTCATGGGACTCTGACAAGAGAGTCCCTGTGTTCTCATACACAACATCTCTGCCCTCAGTTGTTCATTCCCAGATGCCTTTGAATTCTGTGAATGAGTTCAATAAATGTAATAGTGAAAAAACCTCAGCGCATTCACCCTAAAACAGTGAAAACTAATGAAAGAAAAAAATTTTCTAAAATATCTAAAAGCTATGTATAACAATGTTAGTACTGCCGCTCACACTTTTTGTGTTCCCACAAAAAAACAAAAACTTTGTATAAATGACTCAGTGCAGTTCATTATAAAATCTGCCTAGTGATAAATTCTCATGTGGTGTGCAATATCACATAAAATCATATAATAAAACAAATCTCACCCATAACTACAACACATAAAAAAAAAGGTAAATTCCTAGTGTCCATATATTTTCATATAAATCTGCTAAAAATCCTACCATGCAATCAATAAAATATGTACTACATGTTGTGCTCTTCATTTCTAAAATGTTAATTTATATGATCACCATGTGTAGATACCCATCCACAGACAGTAATATGCTCTCACCTTTTTGATAGACCTCACAACAAGGTCTCATACACCTGCCCCTTGTAGTGGGGTCACCTATATCACAAGAGCAATAGTTTCCTCCAGGTCACTGGGGCTTCTCAATCCATCTCCATCCTCAGCAATCCTTGGTGGAATATTTTCAATGAACTTGGAACAAAGAAGGAAATATAGTGCTCTCCGCCTAAAACTCACCATTTATTGAAAACAAATATAATACACAGTTTTTTGGGTGCACAGATGCAGTGCACATGGAATACAGGCTTGTGTAGTTAAAACCAACCAACAAAATGGCTGACCATGTACTTCCTGTGTGTGCAGCGTGATATCACCAGCTCCTCCTTACGCGTCACGTAAAGTCATGTGACTTTATTAGGGGATCTCGGCATGGCGTCTGGCATTGTCTCCTTGGACACAGCTTGTCTTCAATGTGCATTCTTCTTTAATTTACTAATCCCCAGTGTGGAAGTGAAAAATGTACTCATACCGTATAAAATGTATATCAGTATTACACTTTTTTACTTCCTCATTCAGAATGCTGAAAAAATTCTTTAGCAGCATACAAATGGCCATTGGACATCAGGCCCATCGAGTCCTTATCCCCGCTAGGTCTTTGGGTGCAAAATGGCCTCTTTTAAGCCCTATCCAATGTGTAGCTTATTACTTTTATATTGTGCAGAATCAATGACCCTGAAGAATGATATCTCGGTCATCACTGCAGCTTCAATATGCAGCTGACTGATATATCACCCTTTGCATCAAAAGGCATTCAGGTATGTCCTATGGATGGGAAGTGGTTAATGTAGATTCATATAAATATTTTCTTGCTGGACAAAACAATGCCATGTACAGCATGCTGGAATTAATGGGGAAAGAACATTCAAATGTGTGCTACAACTATAATTCTAGTACATTTTAAGTATAGATTCATATAAGTATTTGCTTGCTAACGAAACCAATGTTAGAACATGTATGGCTATTCACCCTGTGTGAAGTGATTAAAGGTGTGTGAAGTGATTATTATTATTATTATACAGGATTTATATAGCGCCAACAGTTTGCGCAGTGCTTAGATTACATTTAGATCCACTTTTTGTCCAACATAGTACTTTTGAATTACACTAAAAATACCTTTTGGTCACTTTACTATAAATATGAGATTATGTAAACGTATATTCACTCTTCTGCTCATAGATCCACCAACATTAACTTCTATGAGGTCTTCTCCGGAGCCAGTGTACCCTCAAGGATAAACAATTTTGATGAAATTGGCCCTGAATATAACTTTACAATAAAAGTACGTACAATGTGGACCACATATTATCATATTGCCCTATTAACAAAGGAAAGCTTGCACACAAATCCATTGTAGCTTTATACCACAAGCTAGCTAAAGCACTCCATTTGTCTAAGATGCTGATTTAAGGTAAGCAATGGTGCACAGAGGGGTTAATAGTGAAGCTTGCACAATAACATAAAAACTCTAAAGTTCATGGTAATAATAAAGTCCAGGAACAGTCCACAAGGCTAATTAGCACCAGCGGCAACCATCCTCAGAGTGAGCCAGCTCTGCATTTGAAATTACTATTATTATACAAGATTTATAGAGCACCATCAGTTTGCACAGCTCTTTAAAAAGTGAATGCAGACAGTACAGTTACAATACAATTTGGTACAAGACGATTCAAAGGGCCCTGCTCGTTAGAGCTTACAATCTAGGAGGAAGGGTCGAGTAATAGAAAAGGTAATAGCTGTGGGGGATGAGCTGTTGGAGAAAGTAAAAATGCAGTTTATTAGTTAGAAGCAGGATATGCTTCTTTAAAGAGAAGGGTTTTCAGGGATCATCTAAAAGTGGATAGATTAGGGGATAGTCAGACAGATTGGGGTAGGGAGTTCCATAGGATGGGAAAAGCGAGGGAGAAGTACTGGAGGCATGCATGGGAGGAACTAGAGAGCAGAAGGTCTTGGGAAGACCGAAGAGAGCGGTTTGGTTGATATTTTGAGACCAGGTTGGTGATGTAGCTGGGGGGCAGAGTTGTGGATGGCTTTTTAAGTTGTTGTTAGTATTTTGAATTTTATTCGTTGGGCAAGTGGAAGCCAGTGGAGGGAATGGCAGAGAGGGATGGCAGACACTGAACGGTTGGGATGGTGGATGTGTCTGGCAGCAGCATTCATGATGGACTGGAGGGGGGATAGCCTATGTAAAGGCTGGGCAATGAGGGAGTTGCAGTAGTCCAGGTGAGAGATAACCAGAGAGGGAATTAGAAGTGTTGTGGTATCATTGGTTAAAAAGGGACATATTCTGGAGATGTTGCGGAGGTTTAGGTGGCATTATTTGGACAGGGATTGGATGTGAGCCTGAAAGGATAGTTCAGAGTCCAGGGTTACCCCTTGCATCTCCTGGCATGCAGGGATGGGTTGATAGTTGTGCTATTGCTCTTGACAGAGAATTAGGGGAAGAGGCACGTAGGAGGGGAAATAGGAGCTCAGTTTTGGATAGATTGAGTTTTAGGAAGTGGTGTGACATCCAGTCTGATATGTCTGTTAGTAAATGCATGAGGAAACTGATGGGGTGAGGGGAGGGCTAAAGAGATGAGACAGAAAAAAGAGAAAGGGGGAAGTGCCACCTGAGTGTAGGAGATGCTCATTTATTGGCAATTGGTTCAAACACTCACAAGAAGCAAGGTAGTATAGTCAAGGGCCCACAGCTCTCCTCTGTCCTATGGAAAGCACTATCGCAATCCAAGGCAGTAGATGGTGATGTTGGGGCATGGGTGTCCTGTGAGCCAGGAAGCCCTCCACAGCAAACGTGGAACAAACAGGTGGCAGGGACATCACCAGAGGATGAGACACACGGAGAAGGCAAAATAGGCTAAGCACTCAGAGCTAGCTGCTCCTTCTAGAGGCTTGGGGGTGCGGCTCTATGTACATTACACTTTAAAATTATAAATGCGCAATACATAAAGATGCACAATAAATATAAAATCCCTATTAAAAATCTTATTCAGAAACAACAGTTGGGTTGGAGTGATTACTATAGTCACAGGTGTAATCAAACTTCAATGATCCTTATAATGGTAATTTACAAAAAATATGAATAAATATAATACAAGAAAAACAAGACCGCATATAACATGCACATATGGATATAAAGACATTATATGGACATGGTATAAATTACTATATTCTATGATACTTACAAAAAGTTATGAAAATGTCTTACACAGAAAAACTTTCATAGACCATATTGGTCCATGGTCCATTGTAAGATAGACCGTCTAGTGTCTACTGTAGAATAAAAAAGAAAAATATTTTAACATTAAAAAACAAATAATTATCTAAACATATTTTTATTTTTTATTCTTCAGTCGACCCTTGCAGTCTGGCTTACATTAGACCAAGGACCAATATGGTCCATGGAAGTTTTTTTCTGTTTAAGACATCTTTTTGTGGGCTCAATCCAAACCCGGGCTATGTGCACCTATTGACACTCACAGCATAGCTCAGCACCCCCCCACCCCCTCACATTATTTGACAACAACAGGTGCCAATGAGTCCCGTGAGGAGAGAGCGGTGCTGCTACTCCTGAGCACAACTCTAGATCAAGATCACGCTCAGGTAAGTACAAACCAAATTCCAATAGAGTTGGGACGCTGTGTAAAATCTACATCTCTACTTTTTTCTGCCATCAATTTCAACATTACCTTATTTCTTTTCTTAAAATGGTACATTTTCTCAGTTTAAAAATGTTAAATGTTTTCTATTTTTTATTGTAAATACAATATGGGTTTGTGAGATTTGCAAATCATTGCATTCTGTTTTTACATAGATTTTACAAAACATCCCAACTTTTTTGGAATTGAGGTTGTATTTTTTTTTTTTGGGGGGGGGGGGGCTGGGTTTTTTTTTAACTTAATGCAGGGAATGTATTAGGGTTAAAGAAAAACCTTTAGCCTTTACAAACACTTTAAGCCTAAGCAGCAGATGACACTATTCAGAAATTGCAGCCTATGCTATGCTGGGCCAGAAATACACATATGGGAGCAGGATCACACAGTCTTGGACAGGTAGGGATTTATTTACTAAAGCTGGAGAGTCCAAAATCAGACTCCCTTCTGCATAGAAACCAATCAGCTTCTAACCTCAGCTTGTTCAATGAAAGCTTTGGCAATGAAACCTGGAAGCTGATTGGTTTCTATGCAGAAGGGAGTCTGATTTTGGAGTCTCCAGCTTTAGTAAATAAACCCCGTACTGTCTAGACCTAAGGGAATAACCATCCATCTGCATCCATCAATACATAACCATCTTTTGTGATAGGAGCAATACATGGGCAGACTAGCATCAAAGTGCAAAATGCAATACAACAAAAGTTTATAAACTAACTTGAATCCTTAACCAGCCTATATTCGTCACTGATCTCCACCATTTCCAGGATGGTTGGTAAACTTGAAGGGACAGTTTTTTTCTCTTATAATCAGTATATTCTACATTTTGTTGTGTTAGATCAGTACTGGAACCATGCCACTGAGAACAGCATTCCTAACCATTAATATCCCAGAGTTCACCAAAGGTAACAACCCTCTGATGTACATCACCTCAGTGAAGACCGATCAGGTAAAATACTGTATAGACAATACTGTATAGATGTGACCTCTTATTGCTGCTCTATTTAATTTTTAAAATATACTTGAACTTATTCAGTAAGGAAGCACAGCGACTCTGTGCAGCCCTAACCCATAGCAATCCAAAGAAATCATCTAACTGATGTGCTTAATGAAAAGTAAAATCGCATTGGGTTACTATCACTGCATATCACACCATTATTGGTGTAATCAATAGAAGTGATGCCATTCCAAACTTGCCTCTTTCACTGCACATATAGCTCCGATTAGGTGGAAGCCCTGGAGCTCATCCTTGCTCCAGTAAAAATGAATGGTTCACACAGTGATGCTGTCATCAATGTATAACCAGTGTCCATGATGAAAACCCTTTGTGTGGTGAAACACCTTGGAATGGACAGGCGAGACTATGGAGGAGGTTTACTAAAACTGAAGCACTCAAAATCTGGTGCAGCAGTGCATGGTAGGCAATCAACTTCTAACTGCAACTTGCTCAATTAAGCTTTGACAATAAAACCTGGAGGATGATTGGTTTCTATGCAAATCTGCACCAAATTTTGCACTTTCCAGTTTTAGTAAATCACCCTCTATATGTTGTGAATCCCTCTATTTATTTCTGTGCTCTGCACAGAAACCAATCATCTTCCAGGTTTTTTTGTCAAAGCTTAATTGAACAAGCTGAGGTTAGACGCTGATTGGCTGCCATGCACAGCTGCACCTGATTTTGCACTCTTCAGTTTTAGTAAATTAAACCCATTATATTAAAGCTGGTCTTACATTAGTGACAGCAACAGTTTGCATCAGTGTTCATTTCTACTTGCATCAGTGTTCATTTCTACTTGCGTCAGTGTTCATTTATACCAATTTCTACATTATTGGTGTATTATGGGATTATTTTTTGTTTCTAAACTTTGTGAGACATGCCACGCCATAGCACATTTCCTAAAGTTCTCTTTCTTATGTAAACACAGTTCTTTCATAGAAGTTTAAAGTGAACCTGGGTGTAGTCCATATTTGTCATAGTAGCAGTCACTCTACTATTCTTCCCTGTTGTGCATATTTACCTTCCCTTTACTCTGCTGCTGCTCTGTTTGGTTTTTGGACGTCAAGAGGGGAAGTCCTGTTGAAGCTACAAGTCACAACTAAGTCCTGCCCCCATGTGAAAGCGCTGAGTGCCTGAGCAGCCCATTAGTAAGCCCCAGCGCTGCCACATGGGCAAAAAGGAGTTAGTCACATGATCCCAATAACCAGAATTGTCAGATATTGCTCTTTGCTATGAGGGACTGAATAAAGCAGCAGGAGAATGAAAGGTAGTTTTGCTGTTGGGGAGGGAAGCAGTTAATTGATCCTGTTTTTTGTCCTGCATGTGCATTTTAGGAAAATAAAGAGCATTGTAATGTTTATTTTACAATGTATGGTTAAATAAGATCAGATGTTCTGCACCCCAAAAATGTGGGGTACATTTTAATAAACTTCACTGTCAATAAAAAATGTTTTTCTCTTGATCACAAACTAAATAAAATCATTTACAAAGGTATTTTTGCTCCCCTGTTCCATTCTGGAAAAAGAAAAAAAAAACTTTGGGCGAGCATCAATACTGAACTGTGTCGATTAGCTACCAGACAATTACAATCTGTGAGTTGTTTCTATGTAATTAAAAGTCAAAGTCTCAAAGTCCAGTTTCTAACTCTATGATTGGTTAATTTATTAATTCCACCATTAAATGTATTCATTGATTAAATGAATAATTAACATTGACAATGGAGTAACTGGTTTGTGGGGCCCTACAATACAAATATGAAGCAACAAACATGATTGGAAATTACTTTCAGGAAAAGATGCCTATAAAAACTCAAGTTGTGTACATGACAGTTTCACTTTAAAGATGACAGTAACTGAAACTGAAGAGTGATTTTATGAATCCCTTTATAATACGAAAAACAGGAAAAATTTCCAAGGGCTAAACTTTCCAAGACCTGGAATTCTTAGAGGGACAGTTGGCAGCTATGGTGGTGGTATGCAGACTACCCTGGGGACATAGGCTTAGTGCTGAAAATTATATGCTATTAGGATTATAATACATTTCAATTATTGCTAATAATAATAAAACAGATCCATATGCATTTTTAATTCTTGTAAAAACTCTTTTACATAAATCTATTCAAATATTGGTTACAAAATGAAGGTGAAAATAAATCTTTTTTTTATATTACCACTTCTTGGTTTAGTAGAAACTCCCAATAAATCTGAAGGTACTCAAAAGCCAGCATTATACAGGTTTTTCCTTTATTTGCACTTATGCCTTTGTGCTATTTTCATATCCAACCAACAAAAATTTTCTCTAGTATGCTCAGGCTCAGTATATTGTCTAATTCTTCAGCATTTTTATTACATTTATTTTTACATTATTATGTTTATTTTTTTTACAAGAAAATGCCTCTCTGAATATTCTTACATTCATACATAATGCATTTAGAACATGCTCTAAGCAGACTTAGACATTTTTTGGCCTGCCACGTGTTGAGAGATTGTAAGTTCCAGAAAGTCATTATAACTAGAGCCAGGCAACAAAAAATAACTGATCTATGCCAGAGCTGCGCAACCTGCTTCTTCTTTTCAGCTGTTGAGGGACAACCAGTCTAAGCCTGTATTTCTAGCTGGTGGATTGTTGGGTGTGATTAGACCTGTAATTCTTCTAAAATTGGAGAGTATGACTATTTAAAGATAATAACTAGACCCTTAGAAATAGTTTTGGTACTCATTTGAAACCCATGTTTTGCCAGCCATATTTTTTTTTCCACCTGGTTAAATCAATATCCATCATAAAGGGATCTATAGCATGAGCAGAGGCTCGTTTTACTTCTGTTCCCTGACAAACCTCACTATTAGCTATCCCATTTACTCCTGTTCTGGGTTAGTTGGCATAACCAGCACCAGTGGCTTCACTACCTTGCATACTACCTGTAACACTGCACTATAGAGAAAATCACATCTCTAAGGCAGTTAAGCATCTCTCCCAAAGCAAATGAGCTGGCAACATAGTGACGTATTCCATATACAAAACATTTACTGGCTCCCATGATACAATCCAGTATTAGAGGGCTTATGCACTTTTGTATGTTTAGTTTCTGAAATGTGTAAACCCCCTAAAACTGGATTTTAAAATGTGAGCTAATTAAGTTTTTGTCTATGAAAGACTTCACTCTGTTGTCAGCTCATTTGCTTTGGAGGATTTACCCTGAAGTGGTTAACATATACTCTTTCCAGAGCACCAATGTCATCTATGGTTCAGCCTGGAGGTAGAGCATAGTTGAGGTCTCCTTGTAGTTAAGTGTCTATGTTGGCTTCTAGCTGATTTCATTGATTTTGATTTCTTTGATTTGTTTTGTAATCAATGTTTTATGTAATATATATTTATTTACTTACTTTTTTGTTGCTCTGTTGCTTTCTTTGTCAGGTGGGTGTTCTGAAAGACGCCTATAAATGAAATATTATTATTATTATTAATACTACTACTATACTAATAATAATAATATTAGAGTTTCTCTATAGAGTGCTCAGCTGGAAATGAGGGTCCTCCTCCAACCTGATAATATAGCTATGTAACTTGCCTATGGGCCTTTCTTGCCATCTTGAGCCCCAGTAAAGTAGCTCAGTTAGTACCTTGTTTCCCCTAAAATAAGACCTACCCCGAAAAAATAAGACCTAGTACTATTTTTGGGCGTTGCTAAAGTATAAGACCTACCCCAAAAATAAGACATAGTTGTGATCAGGGCTTTTTTTTCAGCCGGAACATGGCGGAACCCATTCTGCCACCTCCGGCACTGGCCCTGCTTACACCAATATCTACTATTTCTTATAAACACATAAGCGTGGCTGAAGTGACAGCACCATCCACTCCCACAGAACCTCCCTACCTCTGTACTCACTGTGGGACAGGGAAGGAATAGATATCTGCGGGTGAAGTATGCTGTGTGTTTAGCGGTGGGGCATCTCCTCCTGCAGCCTAATGCATGGAAGCCGATGCCCCAGGGGTGATCACCGGCCAGTGGGGAAGAGGCAGAGCGGTGAGTAAGTGCGCTTGGTGCACTGTGTGGGAAGATAGGACCCTAAACGGGAGTTACTATAGGGAGGGGCCACTGCTGACAGCTGTGTTTTGCAAAGCTAGCTAACCATATGAGGGCAGTAGGGACGGGGGGATGTGCAAAGGAGGGAGGTGGGGGTAAATTGAGTCAGGTGAGTTGACAGCTAGGTGAGTTGCTGAGTTGCAATCCATCTCTGTACCTCCTGGCCACAGCTCACCTCAGCTCTGCATCCCACGTCTGCAACTCACCCCTGCACCCTGTCTGTGGCTCATCTCTGCACCCTGTCTGGAACTCACCTGTCAAGTCACCCCTGCAACACCTGACTGCAGCTCACAACTGTCATCAGCCGGCCCTCTCCATAGTAACCCTTATCCACAACTGCCTGCAGCTCACCTCTGCACCCCCTGTCCACACCTGGACATTTAAAAAATAAGACCTACCCCAAAAATAAGACCTAGTGTGTTTTTTTTGAGCCAAAAAGAATATGACAGTGTCTTATTTTCGGGGAAACACGGTATATCTTCTGCTAGGTCTGGCTGCTTTTGACTTCAAGTGAACTTATCAACCATTCTGTTATTAAGTGTTCTTACATGGCAAGACCACTTACTGTTATCTCACATATATATTCTTTTTATTATAGCCAAATTTACCACCCTAACTCCGCCCACAGTTTTTACACTACATAGACAGTAATATACCGAAACGTGCGGATTGTTCCCAATTGGTGTGCTATTACTTTGTGGAATGTTTTGCCGAATGGTTCACAAAATATTGGCGTTTTTGTGGTGAAATTGGTCCCATAGGAATGAATGGCGGAATGTTCAAAACTAGAGTGGGAAACAAAAGCTAGAGTGTGAGCTGAAAAATCAGGATATGATTTCTAAACTGCCATCACTCCCTCATTTTCAAGTCCACCTACACAAATCTTATATCAAAACGTCAAACGTTCAGCTATCCTGCTGCCACTAAAAATGTCCACAGTTAAGCCATAGTCCTGTTAGTTTTCACAATATGACCATTTGTTTGCAACTCACGCCGCCCATTGACATTCATTGAAACTCCACTCTAGCCACCTAAAATTTGAAGGGCAATTTCTAAACTGCAACTGTGCCTTCATTTTTAATATTTCAGAGACATACTATGCATCAAAATGTAGGTCTGGGTCTTGTGATTCTCCCAATATAAAGCTCTTCGGAGTAGGATTTATCATTTTTAAACTACAACCGTTTGAAGATGGCAACCAACAGTGAAGTGAGCAAGTTGGAGCAGTTTGTTTTTATCTGCTCTTCTTTGCCCTTGCTGTAGAGTGATTTGCCATAGGAACCCAGGTGTGTGAGCAGGCAGCAGAGTGACAAAAGCTAGAGTGTGAGTTGTAGACTACTGGTGGAGGCAAGAACACTTCACACACTTTCCCCAGAAATTGTAGCTTTTCTAGTTTTGTATGCTATGTAAAAGAAGACTTTACAAAGTGCCCACTATTCCCTTTTTTTTTAGCCAGAAAACACTCTTATGCCCATCCCTCAGAAACTGGATTTCACTTTCTAATGCAGTATTTGAGGTCCCTAAATTCAGAGCTAAGCCACACCAACCTTCTCATTCACCTGCCCATTAGGTTATTGGCCATTGAGGCACCTTAATTGCACAGGACATAGCAAATGGGCAAAAATTAGTCCCAAAGTCAGGTATGTCAAGTCCACTGTATAAAGGTGAAATAGGATCACGTGGGAGCAGACAGGGTTGTATTCAACACAGTTACACTAGTGGGGCTGTTAGTGGGAGCAACACCGAGCTAAAGAGAAACACAACACAAATCTTAATAATTTTTCTTATTTTTTTACCATCCTCCATTCCCTCTACATTTATCTTGTTTAATTTGACCAAAATGTCAAGTGAAGGGTATGCAGGGGTTGAGGAAAGATAACAGAAAGCTCTTTATAACCCAGGAAACAAGAATCATGTATCTATTTTCTGTTAGATGTTGGTTTTTTATAACTGAACAGTAGTTTTAACTAGCATATTCACATGACACAAGGGCCAGGGCTTGTACAATTGGAAAATAGGGCAGCATGCTGTCTAAATAGGACCCTGGTTGCAGAGTAGGGTTTTTTTGGCTAATGTTGCTGTCTGCTTTCAGAAAAGACTTAAAGCATAAAAGTTTAAAATGGCTGACAGGTCACCCTTAACAGGTTGTAATGAGGATTCTTTTCCACTTTTGAACTTTCAAAGCAAGAGTCGTTTGGAAATTTTGGGCATTGTGAATTTTAGTGTTCTAGCAACAAATGTTACACGTTGCAGTCTGATCGTAGCGCAGTGCTCAAGAGCTGCATTGTAAAAAAGCAAAAGCAAAACAAGAACTGTGACTGGCAGAATCATTAACCTTTTGAGTTGTAAAAACCGAAACGCACCACTGAAGTATAACTTTCCAATGATCTGCTCTTAGAAATATTTTGGAAGGGTCTTGTTGTGTTGTACTGTGCTGTAAAAGACATCTGCAGTAGCAAACGCTTCAAGGGAACAGTATCGGCCTAATTGTATGGAACAAAATGCCAGTCGCCTTGGCCTCTGGTTCTCTGCGCTGCTTAGTGCCTCTTCAACAAACAATAGATTTACTGTCAGACCTCTAAATGAGACCTGCTGTTGCTGGAGAGGTCAGTTATGAGCCTATAAACTCCATTCTTCTTTTCAACTTCTGCTTTAGGTTAATGGAATCACTTGCAATCCCAACGTTAATCCTCTTCAGATAGGAAAAAAAAGAATATGCAGCTTCCTTCACTGAGGAGAACCTTAGGCATGTCAGTGAATTAGTAAGTTTTTTATTCCTAATACAAATATGCCTTTGAGCCAGTTTTAGCAATTTTATTTGATTATATATAATTAACATACCAAAAATAGTAAATATGGAAATTGATGAATACAATATACTTGTGTGAACTATATAGTATTATATATGCCTATATCAGTGGGGAGAGGCTTATTGCTGAATATGAAAGCTCTAAGAGAGTCGCTCTAAGAGAGTCGCTTTACTAGCCCACCCTCCAGCCCACTTATACACACCTCTCTGCACTACCCAGGCTGTTCTCTTGCTTTAGGAGTCAACACCTGTGCAAGCTTCTTGTTGGATAGTATCAGAGGTTACACAGAGTTGATGGCATTGTCAGGTGAAAGTGTCTGGGCATGATGATTGGCCACTGGGCCCTGAGATGTGCATCCTGGGAGAAGTTCACATTCAATTGGACTTGTTCTTTAATGTAGAAGATTTTTTGGAGATTATCCAAGCCACATTTTCTGTTCCAATGAGTGTCAGAAATATAAACTCAATGCCCCCATACAGAAGTACAAGGAGAAGTTCCTTGTACAAGATATAAGTTCTGAAAAACAGCCTGGCCGTGTGGGGCTCCACCCACATGGCCACATCATTCATTCACATCATTCATACCAGTCCTGACAGAACTACCAAGGTGCTGTGGAGCGCTGTGGTAGTTCAAGTCTTCCTATCAGTATATCTGCTTACCCATACATCCTGGACAGACAAGGAGATATACTGATAGATCTGAAGGAGACCTGCATGGCACAAGCGATCTGCTGATCGCTGGTGCAATGCTTTCCAGGCTTTTGCAGACAAAAATGATAAATGCACATATTTTTACCTGCACAAAAATGTGAATTTATTGTTTTAAAATGTGAACTTATCCTTTAACCCAATCACCATGGGTTCTAAGAACAGGGAGGTGTGAAGTTGTGGAACCAACAGCTATACAAGTCTTCTGGCACCAACAATGGGATTATGAAACTAGAACAGGGAAGTTCCACAACTTTCACACTTCCCATCCTGTTCTTGGGCAATGAATATCTGCCTGTCATGGTATTTGAATTAGGATGTCTTAAGGTGTGGATATAAATGCTGGGGTATCTTTTTTAACACCGATTGTAACAGAAGAAGTAGCTTGGATAAGCTACAAAATGTCTTCAACGTTACAGTTGAATGTGACTGACTTATACTAGCTTTTATGAATACAGTCTTTAGGAGACATTATTCTAACCTTCATAAGAGAGTTTGTAGGACGCTGGAAGGGGAGAATAGTAATACTTTACCCTGAACACTGAGTCTTCAGTATTGCGTGGTTAAAATGGTAGGAAAGCCTAACACTAAGTATTCTTAAATGTTTCCTCCTACCTATCCTGCATACCCTATGTAAAAAAGATCTCTGTAATCCGGTCATATGGTCCTTCAGCTCTGGTTTCCCTGTAAGGAAGCGCTCTACAACGGCTGTGAATTCCAGGAGCCATGACATTACCCATAGGCTCCCACAGGGCAGCTATTGGCAGTGCTCCCTCCTCTCCTCTTTCCTACAGGAAAGCTGGGTCTACAGGGTCACATAACCAGAGCAGATGAAAAAAAGGTAAGTACACCGATATTTGTATACAAGCTATGCAGGATAACTAAGGGGAGGGAGAAGGGAACATTTTTTAAGAATGGTTAGTGCTTGGCTTTTCTTCATCTTTAAGTTTGTTTTTTTTTCAGTATGGGTCAGTATTGAACAGTCTATTATTCATCTGATGGAATGTTTTAACCATGGTTCTCTCTCTTTTAAAGAGCTGTGATAACACAAGATGCACCACATTTAGGTGTGAGATTAAAGACCTGCAACTCAGAGATTACTTTGTGAATGTATCTACCAGAATATGGAATGGGACCTTTGCAGCTGTAAGTATTGTAAATGTTTTTTGTTTTTTTTTTCAGAGGAAATGAGGTTGTGTGCATTCCACATAGCGGCGGACGTGGACAGCAAGGGGCCTCTGTGTGATAACATTTTTTGGATCTTCCCATTAAACTAGGCTGAATGGTATCAACATTGTGAAGAATGCTTCACATCTCATGTAACTAGGCCCCTAAATCAGAGTATAGAGAATGGGTTTTTAAATGGTTCATATGGTGTTTCTACCCCTAGTCTATATGTATACATTTTGTCTATCCAGTTCTGTGATTTTATTCTGCTGCAGTTACATAGTTAATCTGGTTGAAAAAAAGACATAAGTCCATCCACTTTATAAAAAAAGAGGAAAAAAAAAAGGAAACACACACAAATAGAGAACCACCATACACAATATCCTATACCAACAGTTGATCCAGAGAAAAAAAAAACAAAAAAAAAAAAAGTAAAGCATGACCAAATTTGCTCCAGCTGGGGAAAAAAAATCTTCCTGATCTCCCAAGAGGCAATCAGATATTCCATGGATCAACTTTACCTATAAATATTAGGATCCAGTTATATTATGTTCATTTAGGAAAGGCCTTTTTAAACAATATACTGAGCTGCCCAGAAACAGTTCTTGAGGGACTCTATTCCACGTTTTCAGAGCTTTTACTGTGAAGAAGCCTTTCCATAGTTGGAGATTAAATCTCTTTTCCTCTAACTGTAAAGAGTGACCCCTCGTCCTCTCTGATGACCTTAAGATGAATAACTCTACACCAGGGGTGGACTGACCATCGGGGAACTCGGGCACTGCCCGAGGGCCCGGGGTCAGTAGGGGGCCCCATGAGATGTCCCTGGTACCTTTCATAGGCTTTTTTGGGAGTGGTTTGAGTGTGGGCAAGGACACAAGGGCCCCATGATCCCCTATTGCCCGGGGGCCCCATGAGTTGTCAGTCCACCCCTGCTCTACACCGAGTTCACTATATGGACCACTAATGTATTATACATGCTGATCATATCCTCCCTTAATCTCCTCTTCTCAAGAGAGAATAAATTTAATTCCTCTAATCTTTCCTCATAGCTGAGCTCCTCCATGCCTCTTATCAGTTTGGTTGCCCTTCTCTGTGCTTTCTCCAGTTCCCCCATATCCTTTTTGTGAATTGGTGCCAAAAACTGAACTGCATATTCAAGATGAAATCTTACTAATGATTTGTACCGGGGTAATATGATATCTCTCTCTCTGGAGTCTATACCTCTCTTATTGTAAGAGAGGATTTTGCTTGTTTTAGAAACCACAGCTTGGCATTGCATGGCTTTATTAAGCTTGTGATCTACCAGAACCCCCAGATCCTTCTCCACCATTGAGGTTGGCTTGTAAGTTGGATTCCACTGCACAGCTTGGTGTCATCTGCAAAGACTGAAATGGTATTTTTAATCTCAGACCCTATATTGTTTATACATATATTAAAAAGTAAGGGTCTCAACACTGAACCTTGGGGTACACCACTGACAACCCTAGACCATTCAGAGTATGAATCATTAACCACTACTCTCTGAATACGATCTTTTAGCCAGTTTTCTATCCATTTACATACAGATTTTTCCAAGCCCGTAGACTTTACCTTACACATTTGAACTGTGGGAACTGTGTCAAACACTTTCTCAAAATCCAAGTATACCACGTCCACCACCACCCCTCTGTCCAAGTATACCACGTTCACCACCACCCCTCTGTCCAAGTATACCACATTCACCGCCACCCCTCTGTCCAAGTATACCACGTCCACCGCCACCCCTCTGTCCAAGTATACCACGTCCACCGCCACCCCCTCTGTCCAAGTATACCACGTCCACCGCCACCCCTCTGTCCAAGTATACCACGTCCACCGCCACCCTTCTGTCCAAGTATACCACGTCCACCGCCACCCTTCTGTCCAAGTATACCACATCCACTGCAACCCCTCTGTTTAAGGTTTTGCTCACCCCCTCGTAAAAAGAAATCAGATTTGTTTGACAAATTCTGTCTTGAAGCAGATGTAAACCTAATTGCTAAAAGTGAAAAGAGCTGTAACATATTAAAGTATAACTAAAGGCAAACCTTTTTTTCTAAATTTTGGATAGAATGGAGAGGGATTAGAACACCTGTCAGTTTTTTTTATTGCTGTCTGTGCCCTCGTTAGGGAGATTCACCCTCTCTATTTCTCTTGTTTACCATTATGATTGAAAGTAAAATAAAATCCCAAGCTTTGGGTTGTTCCAAGTAATAGAGGGGAAATCTTCCAATGGGAACACTGATTCCCCAAGAAATTTGAAGGGATTTCCTTGTACTTTCTGTTTGGCTTTAGGACAGGAAGTGAAAGGAAATCTCCTCAATGGGACACAGGTGGTGGAAAAATTTTTTTTTACAGGAATTCTAACCCTCCTTTGCTCTACCTAAAATGAAAAAAGAAAGTGTTGCATATGGTTCTACTTTAAAGTCATTTCAATAGCTATTTGTAATGTTTTGAAAACTACAGGTTTCATTAAACTAATACTTGGCGGTCTTGCTATGAAGAAAGCTATTTCCTGTTATAGGGTGACAACACCCTTTATCTTGTCTGTCAAATGTTCTCCTGCATTGTTAAACAATCTCTGCAAACAAGACTGAGAACAAGCATTCCTCAAGAAGTTGCACATTTATATATTACTATTGCTTTAATCAGGAAACCCACCCTTAAAAATGCCATGCAATCATTGCTGAAGTGCATGCATATAGACAAAAAGTGGCTGCAGAGAGGCTACAGAAAATCAATAGTGCTGATATCCAAGAAAAGTTAAAAAAGTGAATGTGTTTTATTTAAAAAAATGACAATGGTTTAGTGCTTTAGCAAACTAGTTGTCTTTTAGTTAGGGTTTCCTCCCCCAGCCTCAGACTGGACACTGAAAGGAGAAGCAGCAGACTTATCAGTTCATCTATCACTCTGCCCTCTCCTCCTATCAGCATGTCCCCTGTTAACACATGAGCACTGTAGCACAACTAGCTTGCTACTTGTGCTGTTCTCCCTTACCCAGTTCAGTGGATTACAAGCAGCTGATACTTTCACTGCTTGCATTAAAAAAATACAAATAACCAGGCCCGGACTGACCATAGGGCACACAGAGCATTTGCATGGTGGGCCGGGGTCACCTGGACAGCTGAATGCCACTTCTCCTCCTCTTCTTCCTGCAGGCATTCAGCGGCTGCAGGGGAGAAATGGAAGGATCGGTTCCTCTATATGACCCCCCGCCACATCTCCTATCCATCTTCTTTCTGCTGTCCCTGCCCTCTCTACTGGTTCCCCTGTGCTCTTTTGGGGCCCCTGTGTGTTCTCTCCTTCCCCCCCCCTCCCGTGCATTGCTGCTTGGTTCCCCCCTCCCCTGTCCCAGCGGCTGCTGCAGGGGACCTGCCAGGATGGGGAGCTGAAAGGGGCTAGTAAATATGTTATTTACCGGCCCCTTCCTTGTCTGAATGGACAGTCAGTGATCGGTAAAAATCACTGACTTTGTCCATTCATAACTGTGTCCTCAGTTTCCTTTCTCTGTCTGTTCAGACCACTGACATCTCATCAAAGCCCCCCAATGGAGCTCATAAAAAAATTATAAAAAAAAACATTGTAAAAAATAAAAAAAATGGTAAAAAATTATTATTATTATTATTATTATACAGTATTTATAAAGCGCCGATAGTTCACTCAGCGCTGTACATTACAAAGGGGGACAGAACATGTGACAGAACAATACCAATACAATGCAAAACATGAGGGGATCGAGGGCCCTGCTCTTTCGAGTTTACAATCTAGGAGGGAGGGGATGGTGGCACAGGAGGAGATAGCTGTGGGGGATGGAGTGGTAGGAAGAGTGGAGGAGGTCGGTCAAGTTAGCAGGGGGTAGGCTTCCCTGAAGAGATGGGTTTTCAGGGTGCGCCTAAAGGAGAGGAGAGTAGGTGATAATCTGATGAGTTGGGGAAGGGAGTTCCAGAGGATGGGTGACACCCTGGAGAAGTCCTGGAGGCGGGCATGGGAGGAGGAGACCAGGGAACTAGAGAGAAGTCTTGTGAGGAGCGGAGTGTGCGTGCTGGGCGGTACTTGGATATTAGGTCGGTGATGTAGTTTGGGGCAGTATGGTGGACAGTTTTGTAGGGCAGTGTTAGGATTTTAAATTTGATCCGTTGCGCAATCGGAAGCCAGTGGAGGGATTGGCAGAGGGGGGTGGCGGAAACGGAGCGGTTGGAAAGGTGAATCGTCTGGCAGCCGTATTCAGGATGGACTGAAGCGGGGATAGCCAGTGGCGAGGCAGGCCAGTGAGGAGGGAGTTGCAGTAGTCGAGTCGTGATATGATGAGGGAGTGGATGAGCTGTTTAGTGGTTTCTGGGGTTAGGAACGTGCGGATTTTGGCGATGTTGCGGAGGTGGAGTCTGCACGAGTTTGTTAAAGATAAAAAATAAAAGAAATAAGATAAAAATAAAAAACTACTGACACCAGTGGCTGAACTACCAGGGTTGCAAACATCACATTTGTGACAGGGCCCTGGCATTCCTCCACAGGGCTCCAAAAGAAGGGCCCCGGGCTCAGGGGTTTCTCAGATTAAAATGCCCGGCCTGTTTTTTGTCCCAATCCGGGCTTGCAAAATATGATGTATATATGAACACAGCACTGTATTATTGTGTGCCTTTTAGATCTGCCTGAAAATCAGCTTTAAAGAACTTGTGCGTCATAGTTCTTAAAAATTAATCCAGTCTGTTATGCACCAGAAATTGGAATCCAAGGCATCCAAATTTAGCATGTTGGCAAATAGAGGGAACAAAAGTGGAACATACTAAATCTTTAGCTTATGTGAAATGAGCCATAAGACAATCACCCAAATCTGCTAAATTAAAGGTTATTTAAGATGCATAAAACAATACTAGGAAAAAATCTGGAAATGTTGGGGATAGAACACTACCCAGTAGCTATCAAAG